GGTTTACCCCAAAAATGGGGTTTTGCCCCCTGGGTATAATGGATTGTGGTGAAGATGTTGACATGCTCTTCTAGATCTACAAAATTCGTGTCATAGTGTCTGTATTATGGCGAGAGCAGAGAGCATCTACTCGATATTGATGCTCCCAAGACACCATTTTTATATGCTTAGATCTGTATCTTAAGCCATGGTGAGGTTCCTGCTCAGCTTGAAGCTCACGCTCCGTGCTCAGCAGGAACCTCATACACCCGCACATGAGCTTCGTGCTGAGCTCATGTGGAGTCTCACCGCAGGTGCCACTGTCTGGTACACAGGGGCACGAAGCGGTCATTGGAGCGAGTGCACGCGGCTGAACCAATCAAAATGCGCAGCCATATCGGAATAACTAAATACGCATGCGCCAACTCTGAGCAGGAATGTCGCATACCCCGCACATGATGAGTTTCAGCCTCACGAGACCAAAATTATCAAACACAACAGATATTTTCCTCACCGCCTCACGAGACCGAAAATTCAGTGAGATTGACCCCAACAACAGCTTCGTGCTGAGCAGAAACCTCACCGTGTGCGGGGGGCTTTAGACTCTGGACCAGATCAAGTGAAATGGCCAATGGCGATGTTGTCATGTCAACTCTACATTATGTATTCTATAGTCACGTACATACACCACGCCGGGGTAGTTTACCATTTGAAGATGCGCACGCATATTGCGGCAACTATACTATGACTACAAGGCACTGCAAGTGACCTAATCCCGAAACTAAAACATTAGGCAAACAGAGCTAAACACAAACAATTGAGTCTTGCTTATCGGAATTCGTATAATCAGTCGTAGAATTTGTATAAATTATACACACGCGGATAAATTACAAGCGCAATTGTTAAATTGTTAAACATGAAACATGACGAACATATTTATTACCCTTCGACATACAAGGTCTAAACCAAAGAAAACATTCCAGTTTACTACTAAAGTGTATTACCCTACTTTATCCTTATCTACGCTTTACTATGCGAAAGACTCATCATGACAACAAATTACCACACACTAGTAAGCATGCTTAATAGAGGGCAGATACAGTATGTATAATTTTTAACTTGATCTCAACCAGTACTAAACCCGAATTAAAGCGAAACCTCAAATTATAATTTAAGCGAAATTTGCCAATCTTCAAGCAGCTTACAACTGCCCTACTAATCAACTTATTCACCCCCACATGGTAAAGTGATTATGTATCCTACTCATTTAATAAATTCCCTACAATTGTACTTGCAGACCATGCAGCAGAACTAATGTTACACCCATTATGAGATGTCTGCGGACATATTCCTACCACATTATACTATGCCTTTATTCAACACCTTAATTCAGTTTACCATCTTGCTACCAGAATATTATGAACTCACAATTAATATACAATTATGACAAAATGATATATCAGATAAAGAATTGCATACTGTTAAACCATCAAATTACGACTCACATGCATACATTATGTGGGAAGTTATTGACAAATCTAATAAAAGGGTTTTTAATGCAACGATACACACACGCAAACAAAAGGGATTCGTCGTCAGTTATTGAAAATGGAACTCTGCAAGAAAAAAACTTTGCATAATAAGAACTTAACAACAATCTTTCTTGAATAAGCTTATACATGTAAATGTAAATGTAATGCACACTTGCTTAAATTCACTATTTAACTTCGGAATGAAATGGAAACTTTGTGTACTTCGTATACGAAATGCTTATAATCAACATGGAAATTATAAATCAAAAAGGTTTTAAAGAGATGATCTCGGACTCATAAATACAGTTAGAAATGTATACAAAGATGTTTACCAGATTTTAATAATTAGCTAAAAATATATACCACAGCAAACAAAAACATGTTACAGGGCAATGGGCTAGTATACAACGTCAAGCAAGGCTAAATGTTTTACTTCTTTGTTCTTTTGTTGCACCGGTCTATCTGATTACTAGCGGCCCACACTGATGTTGTAACGATATTGTGCACTATTAATGACTCAGCGGTGTTGGAAAAAGTGCAGTAAACAGCCTAACTAATTACCAACCAGTACTGGTAAAGATAGACTGCACGTAACTACTGACGCGCTGGGCACAAGCAAACCATAGTAAACGGAACATTACTGATCTAGATACATGGATAGAGCTACAACAGAGTGCACGGCTAGTTATACACCACCAATAGGAACGTTACAATAAGGTGCATGCTACGGAGCCACATTTAGTAGCTAACTGCAGCATGCTGCACGGTTAACACTAAAGTAGTCGGTGTATTACTACTGATCCACCTGCGGTAGTAAACTATGACAGATTGTACTAATCCTGATCCACCATCACTAGTAAGCTACATAAAGCAGGCTACAACATTACAATGACTGCGCAATAAAAACCATACAAGCTCCATAATGTATTAATCCAGAAAACTCCAAAATTTAACTCCATGTATTTATCCAGAATGTTGTAAAAATAAATACCCACAATGCTACTACTAAAAAGTAATGCCTATATCAGTATAGCTGTTTATAGATCTGATATTGCTAAGCCTTTATTGCTTGGCACAAAAAACAATTATTGATGGGCAATTTAAATCAAAATCAATTTAAATCATTTGCAACACTTCGCTAAGAAATAGCATTTTCTTAGTGTGTGGAGATTCATGCATTATAGCATGTCACAATAGAGCATGCAAAACACACCAAATCTACGACTTTTCTGAAATGAGTTGGTATGAAGTAGAGAACAATTTCCCTTGACAACTGCCGAAGAACGGAACGCTGATGTGTAATGTGACGATAATTACGGTATTTCCTGTGCCTCCTCATCCACTCCAGTCGCACGTGTAGTTGTGTCATCACCTATTAGCGATATTAACAACTAAATTAGTAGAATGTTAGGAAGGATACCAATAACATAATGCAGAGCTTTAGCTAACTAATTTGCCTGGGGAAGGCCACGCGCAGGTTGCATTAGGGCAGTTGACAGTGGGTACCTTGCCGTTGATTATTGGTCACACGTCAGTATCTACATTGATACCTAAACACATTAGGTGTAACGCTAAAAAACTCGTCTTAAAAACTGTATACAATATATGGTCTTTGCTCCATGCATTAATGTGTTATATGCATTTATGCATACCTGGACGTCAGGTTACGGCACATGTAAGCTACGCTGCACAGAGGGCACTATTATATCAATGTCATTCAGCCCACACATTCTTAAGGCACACGGATTGCTACATACACAATACTTATAGCCGGCATTTGCCAGATACTACCAGGGCAGATGGAAGATATCAAAGCATCTATGTACAAAGATCTAGCACGTTTGTGTTCTAAGTTTTAGATACGATATTAGATTCTTTTATACAGCCAGGCATAGTTGAATATTACACTGTACGAGATGAAAGTAAAAACGAATGCAGGAGTGGTTGAGATTGAGACGACGAGAGGACAGGCTTCATTGGCATACGTATGCCCATTGGATGAAAAGAGCTCCCTCTCTCGAGTACAGTCAGCCAAGCCCGTAGCTTCCGCAACAAGGAAACGAGACTCGCCAAATGCTCGACAGGTATCATCAAGGAAGATATGAAGATAAAGGAACTGAGGAAACAATACGTTGAAGTGAAGCTAGCCAAGATGATGGCTGCCATCATAAAACAGCATACCCTCTAGTGCCTCAGAGAGCTGTGGGTCACAAGTCCGAACGTGGCTGCAGGAATCATCGATTAGTGAGCCAGCAGCCCCTGGGGCGTGAAACCGGAGGTGTAAGGGAAGGCCCATCGATGGTGGCGGTATGTAAACTGTACCAAAGAAAACATAACACCATGCGGTGAAGGTAGGTGAATTTACCGGCCTATTAGGATTGACACCAGAACATAAAAAAAGTTCTCATTATGTAGTTAATAATTTTTGTACACCTGCTACACACAACATTAAATGATATCACAGTAAACGTGAAGTTCACGTAATTCAATATTATATACAATATTCCTGGCGATCAGGCAATGAGGACTGTCAACAATAACTTGTTACTAAATAAAGTTGCACCATGACACTGACTGTGGGGATATGGTAATTTATCTCTTACCAGGAGCACCACCCACTTCCAGAGCAGCACTGTGTGGCGATGCTGCAGCACTTAGCATGATGTCTGACAGCTCAGAGTCCTTAGCCCAGGTCTTACCCTACAACAAAGCAACTCACAGTTTGAATAACTATTACAGTTCCAGGAACTCTTCAAGACATCACAGCAGAACCTATATTGTGTTTACTCGTATTAGAGGTTCCAAATGTTGTATGTCTGAAAATAGATCTCAGTTCGTTTAAGAAGCCTGGGATTAGTATTTGTGTTCGGTGTGCAGATCCTGTGCCATGTTCCTGAATAATATAATAATTATTAATAAGGCTTAATCTGGAAACTGGATGCTTCGAGGCAGGCCTGTAGAACTCAATGCATCCGATATATAGACGCAGACCTCGACGCTTATTCTCAGATCTGGTTGTCCTGTCGGGCAACAAGAAGCAATTTTTACGTGTCAGAATTTTGGTTTTACTTGTCCAAAATTTACTCGCAATCTTATGAGCCGCGTTAAGGTTTTTGTTTGTTCAGTGCATATATTACAGTATATACATGGCAAATTGTAATGAAATTCCCACGTTTATTTTTGAGTGCTGGCACGCTCATTGTGTGCCATTCCCGATTCCAGTTTTCCCACAATCCTGTACATATTTCGTAATGACCACGCCCCACGCGACTTAATTATACTGTTCGGGTTACGGAGGTGTAACACTGTAAAGGGCATTGCAACATAATTGCTCATCAAATTCAATCAAACTCATATCCATTACATAAGAGAGATGTCTCTCTACGCTCTCGATTTTTTTTTTTAATTCATCGCTAATTAAGTGACGGCAAAAATTGTGAATTTATACAAAAAAACATGCTTTTTTGTTATTTCTCAGAAACAGCAGAGTCGGGACCTGAACGTTTAACCATAAGTTGTTCATAATATAAACTGAAAAAGGTTCCCTTGAATTTTTAAAAATAATGCTTTAATTTAGGAAATAAGTTGAAAAGCCTACGAAAATTTGTAGTGATTTTCAAAACGCAACAATTTCGTAAACGACCCATAACTTATAAAATAATATTTAAAAAAAATTCCAGGGACCCTTTTTCCTTTAATATGTTAGCATTAAAACGTTACAAAAAATTTTGGAATCGGAGTTGTGACTTTAGAGTAATAGCGTTTGAAAAGTCAGCAACTTCAGCATTTCTAACAATGAAGATATTAGCACTTTTCTAAATTTCCCATGATTGAACGCCCGTGTTAAGAATTTACTAATGCGGGGATTTGGCTCTGTTTGGGAGGGTACATACATAATTTCTACGTATACATAGCTGCCCATGCGTGTGATCTATCAAATAGTGTTCATTGAAATTTCGACCAAAAATTCGTCTCTAACCCTTAGTATCCTTAAACAATCGTGCCCCCACCCCGGTACATCAATATATGCTGCCGCAGCCAGGCACATACGCAGCCACGATGTGCGCGCTGGCACTCTATTAATGAATTTGTAATGGTATTAAAGAGTGGGTGACACGGGTGTCGCGGGCTGCTTTTTTCGGCAACCTTAGAAAATAAAACGTAAAATACAGTATGCGATCGTTTAGAAACGTAGAATGTGATGTGTCAAGTGATCTACCTCAGTGAAAATAGCAATAAACTCCTCCATAGCCTGAGTGGAACTGAACTGCACGCTAAACGTGCGCAGGACCGGTGTCTCTGTTGCGAAGTCAGTGGCAGTCCACTCGCATGAGTGCTTCTTCTCATCCACGCGAAGGTTGTTCTCCCGCGTGATTACGTGATTTACGAATGGCTGATTGGAGTCACCATACATACGCACCCTAGCACCATATACGTCATCATCATAGATCACCTGCAGCGTTCCCGTACCAACCGTCTGTTGAGGAAGACAAGTATGAGTGGTGAAATCAAATATAATATAAACGTGGTACATCCCAGGTACCTGCCAAGTACCCAGGCAAACTACAGTTGGAATTCCGATATTACTTCCAATTGTATACACGCATACACATTATGCTTAGTGTCACACTTAATATTAGCTTGATAATGATATGTGATATGTGACAAACTTATACTTTGTTCATGTGATTGCTGGTGCGACGTGGAAGGCAGGAATCTTGGGAACTTGGAAGATAAGCTGGGTGGCGTGTGTTACAATACTGATGGAAGTACTGAATTCAGAGTTCATATGTTACAACACCATCCTTTATTATAGCCACACTTGGTATGCTACAGCTTTGAGTATGCACTAGGTGAGAAGAGAGCTTCTGCCACCTGGCAGAGCTTTATATAGCCTAAGCCTACTTTAGTTCCCACTAGGTGGCATAGGCGTAAATTTAGCTCAGGTGTTTGTTTATAACGACGTGTTGTCACATCTTTCCTCTTATTGAAGAGACACATACCGTGCACAGGTGATATAGATTCCAAATAAAGTAAAGACGTTATACATTGAGAAAAGTAGATTAATGGATCTCAAGGCATTATCAACTAAATTCTAATAAAATAAACAATATTATAAACTTTACAAATTCACACTAAAGATCTACCACGACGTCGTTACAACTAAACTCACATTGTTACTTATTCTTTAAGTTTAATGTCACTAACATATAACTATTAAATATTTACAAGTGGTAGCTTCTTTGCTATCTACTCGTCCATATAACGTTTTGGTTTCCTGACCGTCCACCAGGATCTGGTTCTGGCTGGACTGATGGATGTCATTGGTGGTGGTCGCTGGAATAGCTGACAGTTGAGCAGAGTTAATTGTCCGCTCTTTCTGCTGATCGCCTCAAATAAACACGGTTTCTGCGATATGTCCCCATGTTGGTTTTAACCACGTAGTCTCAGCCAACACTGTCACTTTGTTCCAAAACGCGACCCTTAACCCATTCTTTTCCCCCTGGAGCAGGCTGTATCCTGTACTACATCGCCTTGTGACAACTCTCTTATAGATCTTTTGCAGTCTTATTGCAATAATCCGCTGCCTTGTGTTTTAGTAGGGTGATCCTCTCCCTCTCGCAGTCGTGCGGTATACTTCAGGGTTTGAGTTGAGCTGCAGTGGTGGGTAGCAACGTCTTTGTACGCCTACCAAAGATTCTTTGTGCTGGCGACGATCCTACTCCCTGGGTTGGAGTGTTTCTGAAGACCAGAATAGCTAGGTTAGCAAGGATAAGGTTTTGCCATCTTTGACTTATTTATGATACTTTATATTTGATCTTGATAATTAGACTTGATCGTTTTCACCGCATTTTCTACTTTACCGTTACTCTGCGGATACCGAGGAGATGAGGTGTTATGCTCAAAACCCCACTTCCTGCTAAAGTTCGCAAACACATCACACAAAAACTGTGGGCTGTTGTCGCTCACGACAGAATCCGGTATCCCATGGCGTGAAAACTGTGCCTTTAGTTTCGTGACTACCGTCTCTGCTCTGGTATCCTCCAGATAATCTATCTCAATAAAGTTTGAGTAGTAATCTGCGGTGACGAGGTAATTCAACCCATCGATGTAGCACAGATCTGTTCCCACTGTAGCCCATGGCCGCTCAGGCACATCATGTGGCACTAACGTCTCCTTCTGCTGCTTCCTGGGCATTGAGTTGCAGATTTCACATGCAGCAATGAAATCGCGAATTTCAGAATTCATTGCTGGCCAATACAGGCACTCTCTAGCCCGCCTTAGGCAGCCTTCAATGCCAACATGCAAGCTGTGTATTTGGTCCATCATTTCACTTCTCATCGAGTTGGGAATTACGACGCGGTCACCCTTCAAGATTATTCCGTTGTGCACCGACAACTGGTCTCTTAGACTAAAATGGTGCTTGACATCTCCCTGCATGGTATCTTTCTTTTGGGGCCATCCCTCGAAAACAGTAGACTTAAGTACTCTCAAGTCGCGTTCAGTAGCAGCACGGATCTGTTCGAGCTTACTTTCTGAAAGTGGCAGGTAACTCAGCACATTGACATTATTCAGATATTTCTCGAAGTTATCCAGTTCAGGATCTGCTGGAATATATGCTCTACTCAACGTGTCTGCCAGGTACAGAGTAGGGCCAGGTTGGTATTTCAACTCTAGGTCATAGCCTTGTAGCTTTACCAACATGGTTTGCAGTCGTTTCGGAGCTGCATGGAGCGGCTTTTGCATAATGTTCTCCAGTGGTATGGTCGGTCTGTACCACAAATGGCCTGCCATATACGTACTGGTGGAACTTGGTAACTCCAAAGACACATGCAAGCTCTTTCTCGATTTGTGCGTATCGAGTTTCTGTGTCTGTAAGGGCTCTGCTTGCAAAAGCGACGGGTTGCCCCTTCTGCATAAGCGCTGCACCTAACGCTTTCTCTGAAGCATCACACTGCACTACCACCTCTTCTCTTGGGTCAAAGCACCGAAGCACCGGCTCTTCTGTAATAGCAACATCAGCTCTCTAAAGGCTTGTTCCTGCCTTTCCTCCCAATGCCATTCAACGTTCTTTTGTGTCAGCACCCTCATTGGTTCCACCAAAGCACTTACTTTGGGTACAAACTTGCTAAGGTAATTCACTAGCCCAAGGAGTCGTCTGACAGCTGGTACATCCCGAGGGGGTGGCATCTGTTCCACTGCTCTCACTTTTTCTGGGTCATGCTATCAGGCCCTCACTAGTGAGAAGGTGCCCAATATATGAGCTTCGTTTTTCCCAGGTTTAATTTCAGGTTCTTCTCCCTGCACCGCTGTAAGAACGCACGGACATTGGAGTCATGTGCTGTACAGTGCGAAACTCTTCTGCTACTGGGATGAGCAGAGTCGGGTATATCTCCCTTCCTCTCTCTCTCTGATTAGGTACAAGAACATTTTTTTCTTTACCTTCTCATCTTTCCCTTCTAATGCGAGCGATGTACAGTTCAAACTCCTCCCACCACTTCTTCCAGGCTTGAGCCAAATTTCTAGCATCAATGTGTAGTGGTTCTGGTGGCTTGAGCTGTTCCATGTTTGTCTTGCTTTCAGCTATTCTTGAGGCACACACAATCCCACTTCTGACACCATGTTACAATACTGATGGAAGTACTGAATTCACAGTTTATATGTTACAACACCATGCTTTATTATAGCCACACTTGGTATGCTACAGCTTTGAGTATGCACTAGGTGAGAAGAGAGCTTCTGCCGCCTGGCAGAGCTTTATATAGCCTAAGCCTACTTTAGTTCCCACTAGGTGGCATAGGCGTAACAAACGTTCAGGTGTTTGTTTATAACAACGTGTTGTCACAGTGTGCACGGACGAGCGAGAAGTATTTGGCAACGGTCGACTGAGTGGGTTTGTACCGTGGGGTTCAGAGACAGTTGTCCTGGGAGGACACGTTATGAAAATGTCTGGTTGAGACATGATCCAACACAGCCAGGAATCAATCCTACTGCAAAAACATCTACTATAAAGATATTTAGTGGAACAGTGATGTACAAAGACAAATTGACTAGGCAGTGCATACAATCAGACTAATGTCCTCTTTTCAAGTATGTGCCAGAGAATAGGTACCGAGATAGCTAGCTGCTCAGCACATTTCACACACTATACAGTACACGCTTCTAGTTGTACGCTAGATTTATGTGGCGTTTACGTTTGTATGATAACTGTTATATAATTACAGCAT